ATAAACCAGCTTGCATTCCGTCATGTTGACAATCCCACTAGTCCTAAATCGGAGAGATTAGGATATATCCCTGCTATTCCTTCCTGGAGTGGGATTTGAAAGATGATGCCAGCAGGAGTCATATTCAATTAAATGAGGAATTAGATGTAACAAGTCTAATAAACAGTCCTGTAGAATGTAATTTGAATAAATTCCATCAACTTGAACTCTCTCCTGGAAAGCAGAGGTTAAAGTGGGTCAAGGTTCATTATTCATTGTCTAGGCATTCTTACATTGGCTAATAATTTACTTGTCATCTTATACGCTGATTAAGTGAAAGTAATGTCTTAAAACTAGCAGTTAAGTTGTCACGTTGCTCATTCCACGGAGTAGATGCTAAAAGCTCTCTGTCATACAAGACACGCAAGTTCCATCGATGGCAATTAGCGCAAACAATCTTTATTTTTCATTTACCACTGGTTAAAGGGACTGTTCTTTTTCAATCTTAAAAATAAAAGACCTGTCACTTGACCGTAAGTTAGAGAAACTGGGAAACCCAGGTTCGAATCCCGGTCAGACTGCGTTACCAATGTCGCTGGGTAACAGCTAACAGTATGTATACATATGCCTAGTTCATATCCTGATAGGTTGTAAGTTTGAGTAGGGCTTTCTTCGTATAATTGTAAAGCTCTACAGAATACTTTGGCGCTATATAAATGAAAATAGCAGTATTTACTTATCCCCTATATTTAACAAATATGTATTTGTGAGGTGTAAGTTTTTTTATTAAATGTAGAAACCTACACTTCTTTATCCTGAAACTGAGTGCCTCCATCTTTGCTCCCTTCTAAATAATTAGAGCAGAGAATATTTCAAGTCTCGAGAGACGTGAGGCTTTCCTGTCAGATAACTCTGATTGGTTGGCTTACAAGCTAACCAATCAGATCTCTCTAATGAGATTTCAAAGCGTGGGGAAGCGTTTATAAAGGCTTCTACAGCTTTGAAAAAAAACAAAGAAAAAAAGTTACCTGCGCTCTTTCCACATCCCTATGTATTTTTAAATAAATTGAGGTTTTTTGTTACCTCCAATGGCCATGAGAGGGTATGCCCACCTGCCACGTCAAGGCAGGTGGGTCCTAACTCTAACCATTCGCCTTGCTTCCTTGAGCTTCTGGCAAAATATCTCTGAGACAGAAAGGGGTATATTTTATATACATCCCTACATGCTTATTAACCCTTAATAGGGAACACATGGGATGCGCAGCAGCATTTAAAAATACACAGGGATCCCGTTATACACACGTTTAGCACACATAAGCATAAAGCGCATACAGAAGCTCACTAAAGCTCTGCCATCCAGTATTGAAGGTCATTTTGCAGACTAGCGAGTACCTGGGTATGTGACGACGGCCGGAGGGACTAGGACACTAGAGGTAGTTCTGGGGAAACTGTGACGACACATAGTGCAAAGACAGCGCTGCACACCCCGCTCGGATTACCCTACTACAACGACATAATCTACAAATGCATAGGGCCCACCACCCTCGGCGGCAACCCAATACCCTCTACCTAGCCTACCATCTGTGACCATGATAACGCATAATAAAAAATAAAAACCATGACATTATCTGAAGGTTGACCTATTCTACCCGACAACATTATGCGACAAGCCTGTTGCGATAACTCAGTCATCGCATTGATCTGTACTTAACCCAGTTTTGTAACTTCGTTGTTTCATGCTATGTATCTAGCGGCTTGTGCACAAGCCAGGTCACAACCTCTTGTTATCACATATTGTCATTCAAAAAGAATTAAAAAAAAAAATACACAGGGATGTGGAAAGAGCGCAGGTAACTTTTTTCTTTGGTTTTTACTATATATTGAGGCTGATGTGTACTATGGTCATTACTGCCGCCCAGGAGTAATGGGAGTTTGAGCACAGGACTTGTTTCTTTGTATTTTTACAGCTTTGAAGCCTCATTCTGCACAGAGCCCACATGTGAGGATGTGTTGATTTATTTTTTATTGCATCACAGTTTATTTATTTAGTTTTTAATCATGGTTTTTGCAAATCTTTTTTTCCCCCAAGCATTGCGTGACATATTATAGATGTTAAATTGGTCTTATTTTTGGTCTTACGTTTACAAGAAAGACGACTTCAGATGGTAATTTATTTTATTACAGGCATTGGGCTAATGTCCCACCCCTCACTATCACTAGGGTAGGGGGTAGGTAGGATTACTTTTATTTAAGAGGGTGGCTAGGGGCTTGTGCTTGCCCCACTAGTGAATAAACATGGTTCTATTTTTCCTCTTCCTTTGCAATATGTGCCTTGTCTCAACTGGATTGTGATGTCACCCAATAAATCTTTAAAGGACCACTATAGTGCCAGGAAAACATACTCGTTTTCCTGGCACTATAGTGCCCTGAGGGTGCCCCCACCCTCAGGGTCCCCCTCCCGCTGGGGTTAAACTTACCTCTTTTTCCAGCGCCGGGCGGGGAGCTCTCCTCCTCCTTCTCCTCTCCTCCCTCTTCTCCTCCTCTTCAGCTGAATGTACATGCGTGGCAGGAGCCGCGCGCGCATTCAGCCAGTCCATAGGAAAGCATTCACAATGCTTTCCTATGGACGCTGGCGTCTTCTCACTGTGATTTTCACAGTGAGAAACGCGGAAGCCCTCTAGCAGCTGTCAATGAGACAGCCACTAGAGGCTGGATTAACCCTAACATAAACATAGCAGTTTCTCTGAAACTGCTATGTTTATAGAAAAAAGGGTTAACCCTAGCTGTATCAGGCACCCAGACCACTTCATTAAGCTGAAGTGGTCTGGGTGCCTATAGTGGTCCTTTAATATAAATGTAAAGATAACAGCATCTCATGGAAATGGTTAAAACACGTTACAGGTGATTTTCAATCTTCTATTAAATTGTGAGAATTCCAGTTGAGCGATATTTTACTTTTGAGGTTTTTTTAATTATAATTATACTATCCATTATATAGTGATATATTTCGCCATGTTGGCTAATCTCACGTTAACATACCGCAATACGTTTTTTGATGTGCCATTTCTTCCAACTGTTCTTTGCTGTGTACATTTTAATTTGCTGTTTTTCTCAGGGACACAGTTACTTTCATTATATCGATTTTCAGTGGTTGAAACACAAATAAAAGACTGATCATTATTGTGACACAAAGTTCATTCTAATGAAACTGTAACAGCATTTCAGCCGGTTAGTGCCTTCCCCCAGGTGTCATAGGAACAGTGATTATTTGTGTTGTCATCTCTCCTTATTATAGGAACCTTATTATAATCCTTATTTGGTGTGGACAGTCTGAATACTATGTCCATTAGAATGGTGCCTTGTATATCTTCTACCTCTAACCCTGAAAAGTAGGATTAAGCAAGCAGAGTTATTATTTATGTATAAAAACAAGTCTTTCAATAGGCACAAAATGAAACCAGCATTCTTCTACATATTTCATTTGGCAATGTAGGTTTCGTTCTTTTTGGCTATTATGTATCTACCATTATGTTTGTCTTTTTGGATTTAACCTTGGATTTGAATTGTAACTTTTTTCAATAAAGCTCAGCATTATATTGTGAGCACTCAATATTATTCAGAGTTATTTTGAGTTTTTAAGCTTAAAGGGACACTATAGGCACTAAAATGACTCTACCCCAATTGAGGGGATTTGGTATATAGATCATGTCCCTGCCATTTTACTGCTCAATTCTCTGCTATTTAGGAGTTAAAGGAATTCTATGTGAAAAATAGAAGATAGAGTCAACTAATATGTATTGGAGAGAGAATACAAGAGGCAGCAATCCCAAACAAGGACTCCCTCAAGTGGGATGAAATACAAAAAGACAATCTAAATAGAAGGATGGGACTCTTAATAGACAGAAATAGAAAAGTCGCCTTCAAAATAATGGAAATAAGGGTCCAAATGTAATACAAAACTTGGTGACATTATGTTAGATGCTCTGTAGTTTGTTCCTTCCTGGTATACAGGAGGGTGGGAATGAGGTGGTAGGAGTGATCCAGGGTATCCAAATAAAGAAGAGGTAATGCCTCACTTTTTGGTAGGCTTAATCCAGCTCAGGTGTGGATGGCTTGCAGCGGTATAATATAATACCGCTGCAAGCCATCCACACCAGAGCTGGATTAAGCTCTACTAAAAGTGAGTATTACCTCTTCTTTTTTATTTGGATACCCGTTGGATCACTCCACACCACCTCATCATTCATCACCCTCCTTCATATACCAGGAAGGAACAAAACTACAGAGACGAACATAATACCAAGTTTTTTATTACATTTGGACTTTATTTCCATATTTTAATAAGGACTTTTCATTTCTGTCTATTGGCGCAGTCCCATCCTTCTATTTGAATTCCATAGTAAGGAATACAAAGTTGTATTACTTACACTATAGTTCCCTCTGCCCCTCCCCCCCATGCAGAGGGTGAGGAAGTCCATCGCCAGTTAGGCTACCAAAAGTTGATTAACCAACAGGAATGTGATTGCCATTGTCTGATTGAAAGCCACTAGATGCAGTCTTAGTCCTGCACTGTTTCCCTAAAACTGCAATGCTTTACATTGCAGGACTAAGAGGAGCAGGCACACTGCACCACGACCTGGGTGCCTATGGTGTCCCTTTAAATCACTTTGTTTATGCAGCCCTAGTCATACCTCCCTTAAAGTAATGTGCACATATTCCTAAAAACATTCCTAGATCTTATGTTTAAACATCCTTTATTGAACAGTCTGTTTAATTTAGAATTTCTTATCTCCTGTTTAGTTACTAGTCTGCTAGAGCCTCCAGAAGCCTCCTTTGTTTTTAAAGTTCAATTTACAGAGCTGGAGATAAAAACTTCTAAAGCAAGTTAACATCTAAATGAAAATGAAACCATTATTTTTATGCAGGCTGTGTCAGTTACAGCCAGGGGAGGTGTGGCTAGGGCTGCATAAACAAAGTGATTTGTGCATCTCCCTTTCTATGGAATTGCCTGCATACCCTGATCAGACTCTCCCCTAGTCTTCAATCCTTTAAGAAGTGCCTTTAGGAAAGCTTATGGCCTCCCAGAGTAACCTCTACCTCACATACCTGTCTCTTGCTCTCTCCTATAGGGCAGTGCTTTACTCTCTCCTCCAGCTCTGCTTCACTCCCACCCTATTTGATTGATATTTCCTGTCCTAACGTGTCTTATACCCCACCTCCTATAGACTGTAAGCTCGTTTGAGCAGGGTCCTCTTCAACCTAGTGTTCCTGTAAGTTTTCTTGTAATTAGTCCTATTTATTGTTACATCCCCCCTCTCATAATATTGTAAAGCGCTACGGAATCTTTTAAGACCTAATCCGATATACAACTATTTTAAAAGTTTTTCCTATTTTTTATTATTTCTTATTAATATATTTTAATTTTAATTATACTCTCATTGAAGTATCATTGTTACTGTACTCAAACCATTTCGGTTAGCCAGCTCCGGGAACAAATACACCATTTCAAGGGTGTCACCTCTTATACTACATTTTTTGGATAGGTTTTTGGTGAATTCCTGTCTGTATCCAGTGTTGAGCAGCATACCATCAGTCCGACTCCCTCATCCCTGTGTGTTGCAATAGGCATACCAGACTAGTACACCGCTACGGAATCTGTTGGCTCTACATAAATGGCAATAATAGTAATAATAATAACAATAACTCGCTCAGTGTGCAATATAACTAATTTACTTCTATCCATGAGTTATTAATCTCACGCTCCCTTCACTTACTTGCTTTAACAGAAACTTGTCTCTCTCCCTCTGACACAGCTATCCCTGCCTCATTATCCTATAGTGGTCTACAGTTTACACACAACCCAAGACAGTCTGACAGTAAAGGTGGCGGTGTAGGGTTTCTGCTTTCACCCCACTGCTCCTTCAAAACCACTCCGCAATCCTTCTTTTTCTCCTCCTTTGAAATTCACTGAATCCGCTTATTCAAACCCGTATCTTCAAACATTACAGTTATTTATCAGCCCCCTGGTTCCCCTTGTCTCTTCCTTGATCATTTTGCTGCCTGGCTTCCTTATTTCCTTTCAAGCAATATCCCATCCCTAATTCTCAGGGACTTCAACATTCCCATTACCTCACCCTTGTACTCAGTAGCCTCAAAACTTATTTCAATCACCTCCTCCTTTGGGCTATCGCAATGGGCTAATTCCCCCACACATGTAGCTGGCAATACCCTCGATCTCATTTTTTCAAATGCATGCTCAGTCTCCAATCTCTATAATACTCAATTTCCTCTATCAGACACCATCTCCTATCATTTGTTATTGAGTGCACCACACACAGTATCCAGGGCCGGATTAAGAGCACACTGGGCCTGGTGCTGACAAATATGATGGGCCTAATTATGGAATCTTATCAACCAAAAACACTAAAACAGTCATACCTCCCAAGCGTCATGTATCTGATGGAGATGGTGCTGGAGGGAAACTCAAAGGATGCAGCTATAAGAAAACACATACTCTATGCTAATCTCTCTCTAATTTATGCTTTCATCTTTCAAGTAAATCCATACCCCCTAACAGCAGTGTCCAGCGAAGCAGGAAGTCAATGGGCGGGGTAAAAGGGTGTGCCACTGGCGCGAATCACGTGACCAGACTTGCCAAAAGGGGAGAACATGCCCAAAAAGGGGGCATGTCTGTACAAAGAATTTGAAGGACAACCTGGCATGAATGCATGTCAGGCTGCCCGCCAATCCTGCAGGCTGTCCAACTAAGGGCATACTATGCAGGCAGCACCATGAGCTTGACATAAATGCATCTAATGATGCGCTCACTCCGTGCTTTCTAAGGACTGTCCACTATCACTCGCTGGTCCACTTGTCACCTTGCCTTCTTACTAGCAGACAGAAGGTCCTGGTATATAGTCTGAGACAGAGAAAAGGTGTATGTAGTGAGTGTAGAAGAAAGGGGACATGCCACAGTTTTAGAGAGATCAGCGTCTGCATTACCTAAACTAATTTTATTGTCAGCTAGTCCACACAAGTTTTGTTCCCATACATCCCTCTTAAGATTCCAAACTTAAAGGGACACTATAGTCACCAGAACAACTACAGCTTATTGTATTTGTTCTGATAAGTAGAATCATTCCATTTAGGCCTTTTGCAGTAAACACTGTCTTTTCAGAGAAAATAACTCCACTGGCTACTCCTTAGATGGCTGCTAGAGGTGCTTCCTGGGGCACACTACTGCCTAGTGTGCAGCAATGCCATTCAGTGTATCCACCCTCTGCATGCAGACACTGAACTTTCCTCATAGAGATGCATTGATTCAATTTATCTTTAAGAGGAGATGCTGATTGGCCAGGTGCTGGCTCTGCCCCTGATCTGCCTAGTTGACAGTCTCAGCCAATCCTATGGGGAAGTTTTGTAATTTGCTCAGACCACCACTTCTGATGATGTCAGCAGACAGTCAATTCAGAGGCAGAGCCAGCAGCTGCAGACCTGAATACTAGTTATATTTTACTATACTTAGGGAGGCAAGAAGGGGCCAGGGTGGTGGTTTTAGCATAATAGGGTCAGAAATACATGATTGTGTTCCTGACCCTATAGTGCTCCTTTAAGCAAGAGTATGTGAAGAGTAGTTAGGGCTGCCACCTTTCTTGGAAAAAATACCAGCCTTAATCATTTGTATAATCACAAAGAGTGACATCAGAGAAAATTCTGTAAAATCAAAAACAAACTACTCACAGTTTGATTCTGCTGTATAGATGGATTGCTCCCAGTGTCTCAGTCTCGCAAGTCACCCAGTGTCTGTGTCCCTATGTATCACAGTGTCAGTGTCCCCATGTCGCCCAGTCCCCTAGTCTCCCAGTGTCTCAGTGTCGTCATTTCTCCCAGTGTCCCAATGTCTCAGTGTGTCCCCATGTCACTAGGATACTGGGGACACAGTGAGACATGGGGACACTGAGAGACCCGGGGACACTGAGAGACCCGGGGACACAGAGACATGGGGACACTGGGAGACATGGGGACACTGAGACATTTAGGGAAACTGGGAGAAATGGGGACACTGAGACACTAGGAGACATGGGGACACTGTAACATTTGGGGACACTAAGACACTAGGGACACAAAGACATGGGAACACAGACACTGGGAGACTAGGGGACAGGGGGACACTAGCTGGGAGACAGACACTTGGGAACACTGGGAGACATGGGGACAGTTGTGGACATAGACATGGGGACACTGGGACATATAGAGACACTGGGGGACACTAGGCACACTGAGACACTAGGAACACAGACACTGGGAGACATGGGGACACTGAAACATTTAGGGGACACTAAGACACTAGGGACACAGAGACATGGGGACACTGGGAGACTATGGGACACAGACACTGGGAGACTTGGGGACAGTTGTGGACATAGACATGGGCACACTGGGACATATAGGGACACTAGGCACACTGAGAAACATGGGACACAGACACTGGGAGACTTGGGGACAGTTGTGGACATAGACATGGGGACACTGGGACATATAGGGACACTAGGCACACTGAGAAACATGGGACACAGACACTGGGAGACTTAGGGACACTGAGACACTATCGACACTGGATGGGGGACATGGGGACACTGGGAGAAATGGGGACATAGTGTCTCTGTGTCCCAATGTCTCAGTGTCTCCCAATGTCACTATGTCTCACAGCATCCCCATGTGTCCCAGTGTCCCCTAGTGTCTCAGTGTCCCCATGTTTTCCAGTGTCCCCAAGTGTCTCAGTGTTTCCAGGTCTCCCAGTGTCTGTGTCCCCATGAGTCCTAGTGTCTCAGTGTCCCCTAGTGTCTGTGTGTCTCAGTGTCCCCATATGTCCCCTAGTGTCTCAGTGTCCCCATATGTCCCCTAGTGTCTCAGTGTCCCCTAGTGTCTCAGTGTCCACATGTGTCCCCTAGTGTCTCAGTGTCCCCATGTGTCCCTGCTGCCTTTCCCCCCATCCCTCACTTACCTGAGCTGTAGAGCTGCTGTCTGGACTCTCTGTGCTGTGTTGCTGCTCCCCCACGGATCAGTGAGTAGTAGAGAGAGGCAGGGATATTCTGTAACTTCCTATCCCTGCCTCTCTCCACACACAGTGACCCCTACTGGCTGGTGCTGGTATTGCAGGGTAATTTCCATTTATTCTGAGAAAATTACCTGCATTTGTATTGCCGGTATTACTGCAATACCGTCACGGCCAGGCAGCCTCACATACCGGCTGTGCCAGCAAAATAGCAGTCAGGTGGCAAACCTAAGAGTAGTGTGTAAAAAAAAAAAAAAAAAAAAAATTTTTTTTTTTTTTAAATGGGCCTATTCCATGGGCCTGGGCCTGGAGCTGCAGCTCCATCAGCCCCTATGTTAATCCGGCCCTGACAGTATCCTCAGCCTAGCCCCCCTCTACTCAGGAGGAATCTGAAATCTCTTGACCTCCATAAGCTCTCAACTGATATCTATTCTGATATCAGTTGAGGAGACTTCTCCTGTCTCCCTCTGGCTATCTCCTCATATACTGCTACCCTCACCTCTGCCCTAGACGCTGCAGCCCACCTCAAGGAGGGCGCGCCTCCAACCATAGCACACCAAGTCAACCCGCTACCTGCAGAGATACTCCCGTTCAGCTGAATGCTGCTGGAGAAAGTCTTGCACCTTCTCAGACTTTCTCCATTATAAATTTGTCTTGTGTTCATACAGTGCAGCCCTCACCCTTGCTAGACAGTATAACTTTTCCTCTATTATTAGTTCATGCTCCCGCAATCCTAGATATATTTTTAATACCTTTAACTCTCTTCTTCGCCCTGCTGTAGCCACCCCACAAACTAATTTTTCAGCTGATAGCTTTGCATGTTACTTTACCGACTAAACAGTTAGGGAATTAATTCTCCACCCTTTCCCCTCTCTATCTCAACCTCACTTGAACCATACCATACCCTCCAAGACTTCTCCTTTCCTCTCGCCCCACCAATCTCATCCCGTCCCACCTCATCAGATCTGTCTTCCCTTGTCTTGTGTCTTCCTCAACACACATCTTCAACTGCTCTCTTTCTTCTAGTGTTGTCCCTGCTCCCATTAAACATGCTACTGTTGTACCTGTCCTCAAAAAGCCATCTCTTGACCCAACTTCCCCTTTCAACTATTGTCCCATATCCCTGCTCCCTTTTTCCTAAAAACTTTTGGAAAGGCATGTCTTTACCCGTCTGACTTG